GCGGGGATGGGGCCGGAGGAAAGCTGTGCAACACTAGCTCTCTGTGTCAGACTCTTTGTATATTCTTTCTGCCCACCAATTGAACATTGCAGGAGTCAGATCCTTGCCTGATTGGGAAGTAGCAGAGACAGCAGGTAGGAGGAGACTCCTGGCACAGAAATCTCTTCTAAATAGGGTTGCTGTCCTCCAGTGCGTGTTGCCCCTGGTAGCAGCAAGTCCTGTGGGAGGGATCTGCTAAATCAACCTAACCCCCTCACCCACACCCTGCTGAGAAGCTGCAGGTTGAAGGGAAATCTGCATGATAAAAGTTTCCTGCTGAGCGGGAGCTTCCCCAGCACAAAGCTGCTCTGAGCCCAGCCTTTGTTCCCAGACACCCCGGCTGTGGCAGGGCCCATCTGTGCCTCTTTCATTCATTCCCTGGTGAACATTAAACTGGCTGCAGGCTGGGGTGTGTGGGAGGCCTGGCGCTTGAGCAGACTTTGGAGGTCAGGGCCCTGAGCCCGCCCTCATGTGGCCCTGAGACCAATGAGAGGCAGGAAAGAAAGTCTACATTCTCCTCTGTGCCCTGGGCAAAGCTGATTGTCTGGGGTGGCTTGTTGTGTAGGATTTTCAAGGATTCATCTAAAAGAGTAAAAATAAATAAACTGAGAGAATATTTTAAATCTCTTAGAAAATAATGATTCCCAATTGCTTGGCTAAATTCTTAGACTTTCTGAGTAGAAAATTTCCTTCTTTATTCATTGTGCATAATGACCGAAACCCAATGTTTCATTTCAGTTGTTCTTGGAGAGGGTTCGGAAAAATGGGTTTGTAGAATTAAGAAATCATGTGTCTCTCCTGGTCTTGTTCTCTTAGGATGCAGACAATAAAGTTGAGAGAATTTGGGGTGATTGTACCGTCAGGAAGAAATACTCTCATGTGGACCTGGTGGTGATGGTAGATGGCTTTGAAGGAGAAAAGGGAGCCGTGGTGGCTGGGAGTCGAGGGTACTTCCTGAAGGTAAGAGTTGGGAACCAGTGGGGATGAAGAAGGAACTTAAAAAAAATTGCAGAAAATCATAATCATACTTAAAGAGGCTCACAAATCCACCACTTGTACTTGCTGCTGTCTGCAAATGTGTAGCAATTAGATGCAATTCTCCTTCTAAGGCAAGAGAGTGCTTATCCAGATTCCATAGAACAAAAGCCACTCAGTGATCCTCCATAATGAATATGTTTTGCTGACTGAATCAGAACAGTCTCTCTCTTTGAGGAGCTCGGTGTAATTGGACAGTCAGACAAGTAACAAAGGATCAAAACCCAGTGTGATAAGGCTGTGGTTTGAGTCAGCCCAGAGTGCTTTGAGAATGGGTAGGTGGAGGCAATAGACCCTGATTAACTGGGGCAGAGGGCAGATGAATTCAGGGAAGGCTTCCAAAAGGATATGGCCAAATAACTTGAAAATACTGTACACTTAATTGTGCTTTACATTTACAAATCCCATTTGCCCCTGAGTGTCAGTTAGCAGACGAACAGGGTAATGACAGGCCCTCTCACACAGTACTGTGTCTCTGCATCTGTAGGGGGTCCTGGTGTTCCTGGAACAGGCACTTATCCAGTACGCTCTCCGCACCCTGAGAAATCGGGGATACACTCCCATTTACACCCCATTTTTCATGAGGAAGGAGGTCATGCAGGAGGTGGCACAGCTCAGCCAGTTTGACGAAGAACTTTATAAGGTGAGTAGCCTGGGGCAGCGTGGTAGGATAATTTAACTCTATGATACTGAAGTGATGCTATCTAGTCCAACTTCTGTCATAATGGAAATGCTCTATTTCTGTGGCTCTTAAGCATTTAAAATGTGCCTAGCACAACTAAGGAAGCAAATTTTTAGTTTTAACTAATTAAAAAAAAATTTTAGTTGTTGATGGACTTTTATTTGTTTATTTATATGCTGTTCTGAGAATCAAACCCAGTGCCTCACACATACTAGGCAAGCACTCTACCACTGAGCCACAATCCCAGCCCAATTTTCATATAAACAGCCACATATGGCTGGTGGCCGCCGTTTTTTCATCTTTTCCCTAGTAATTTGTGAATGTATCTAAATTGAGCACACTGTATCACCAGAAGCTTAGAAAAGAAAACCCTGGATGCTTAGACACAAGGAAATGATAGAAGTGCACTGGTCTCCCAGCCTCCTTCCCATGTCTTCCCACTCTTCACTGTAGACTGGAGGCTTGAATAGGGCAAGATGTATTTGCCTTGGGATGGATGTGACTGCCAATTCATGGCTCCTCTCAATTATGGACCATCTTAGGTAGAGCCCAAGATTCAAGTTGAGGTTCAAAATGTCATTCTGATCAACAGACTCTGGCAACTATAGCATTGAAGTCTGTGAAGCACTCAGAATTTCTAGAATGTTTCTTCTGTTCATCATGGAAAGTCTACTTTTCACCTGTTTTTCTCCTTCAAGATTCATGTCAGAAGTGGGACACTGCTCTTATTGGCAAGTGTGGTTATGCTTATCTGATTTATAAATTATTTTGCCAGTCTGGGAATTGAACCCAGGGCCTTGTGCATGCCGGGCAAGCACTCTACCACTGAGCTACATTCATCTGCCCATATTTATCATAGAAGGAGATAAGTTTATTTATTTTTATTTTATGTAATTTATTTATTTATTTGAGACAGGGTCTCTCTATGTTACCCAGGCTGGTCTCAAACTCCTAGACTCAAGAAATCCTCGCATCTCAAGTTTCCTGAGTAGTTGGGACTATCGGCACTCATCACCAGGCCCAACTAATAATTATAACTGTATTCCACTGGTCCTGCTAATGAGGTCAAAGTTATATTTTCCTTCAAGATTCACTGGGAAAAAAAGTTCCCCCTAAATTCTTGAGTATTAGTATAGCCTTGGTATCCTCCCCTTCTTTCTTTTTCAATGGAGAGGAATGTGTCCATGTATCAGCTAGAACCTGTTTAACCTTTTTGCTTTTTCTCTAATCTCAACCCTTAAGATTGAATCATCAATAACAGAAATTTAGAAATTCCATTACAGGGAAAACTAGAAAGAAATGTATCTGAAGGATTATAAGATATTATGTAGCAGGAGCTCCCTATTTCCTGCGTCCTCCATCTCTTACCCACGTGATTCTTCAATCCCCAGGCAGAAGGAATCCCCGGGTCTTGATAATGAGGAATTTTGAGTCAGACTTCTTGCCTGATAGAAATCTTAGTTTACTCATTCTCTGGAGTAGTATTGTCCAATAGGCTTTTTTATTTTATTTTATTTTATTTTATTTATTTTTGAGACAGGGTCTTACTACTTTACTGAGGCTGGCCTTGAACTTGTGATCCTTCTGCCTTAGCCTCCCTAGTAACTGGGATTTATAGGCATGTGCAACCATGCTGAACACCAATTAACATTTTAAAATATTTTCTTTGGGACTTTTTCATACTTATTATTTTCACATACTTATAGTCACACTGTACATAGCTTTTTTTTTAACTTAACCTTATATCAAAGACATTTTTCTATATTACTACATCATTTCCATAATCATTTTTAGTGGGTGCATAATGTTATGTAAACTGAATGTAGCTATGGATTATTAACTCTTCCCCTGTTGAATATTTAAGGTGCTTCCTTTTTTGCTACCAGTACAAAAATGTTACAATGAACTTTGTTGGTCTTTCGCCCTTTGACCATGCTAGGGATTGAACCTAGGGCCTCTCAAGCACTCTACCACTGAGCTACATCCCAGCCCTGTGGCTTTTTTTTTTTTTTTCTCCCATTATTTTCTTCAGCTGAATCCTCAGTGCATTCTTTAGGATTACTATTGCTAGACTAACTCTAAGCACCAAGAAAGCAGAGACTATGTCTCTTTTTGCACAGCATTGGCAGATAGACTTGGCATTTGGTGAAGGCCTCACAAACATTTGTTGACTGGATTAATTTATATTGCCACCAACATAGGTTTTTTACACATCTGCCAGCATTGACCACTTATCATTTGTAAATGTCTTCTTTGTTAAATAAGTGACAGTGTCTCCTTTGGACAGACTTAGTCCCTCCCTTGTCTTCATAGCATTCCCTCCCCACTCCTGGACTGGGATTGAAGACAATTTTTCATGTCCCCATCACTCCTATCTTTTCCTACGGTTTCTTGTACAGGCTTAGGTCAGTCTTAATTGGCACAGGTCCCTGCTTCAACAGGTGATTGGCAAAGGCAGTGAGAAGTCTGATGACAACTCCTATGATGAGAAATACCTGATTGCCACCTCAGAGCAGCCCATCGCTGCCCTCCACCGGGATGAATGGCTGCGGCCAGAGGATCTGCCCATCAAGTATGCTGGCCTGTCTACCTGCTTTCGCCAGGAGGTTGGCTCCCATGGCCGTGACACCCGTGGCATCTTTAGAGTCCATCAATTTGAGAAGGTGAGTGTGAAGAGTGGGAGCCTTCTTCCTACCTGTCCAGAGGGTCATAGGAGAGATGGCTTCTGGCTGCAGCTTTTCCTCTGTTGCCAATGTCTTTGTGGGGAAGAGCCTGGAAAGTACCTGGTGGAGTGGCTTTGAGCACTGGAACCAGGCTGCCTGACTCAAATGCCAACTCCACCACTTACCAGCTGTGCAACCTTGGGCAAGTTGCTTTATCTCCCTGTGCTCAGTTTCTACCTCTGTGAAAAGAGCACAGTGATAATGGGCCCCACCTCACTAGGCAGACTGTGAGGACTAAACTGGTCAGCGTGTGAGGCACTTAGCCCACAAGGTCCACGATTACACTCCATCAACGCTGTTGTTCTTGTTGCTGTCCTGTCTAGACTAGCACCCATCCCTCTTGCTGGGGTACAACCTGGCCTGTTTCCCAGTGGTGTGGGACTGGGTCTTCTTTGCCAGGATAGATCCATCCCAGTCCTTTGGTTTAATCACCACGTTCTTCTGTCTGTCTCTATAGATTGAGCAGTTTGTATACTCGTCACCCCATGACAACAAGTCATGGGAGATGTTTGAAGAGATGATTGCCACCGCCGAAGAGTTCTATCAGTCTTTGGGGATCCCTTACCACATAGTGAATATTGTCTCAGGTAGGGGACCCCTCAACTTCTCAGCCTCCTTTTCTCACATTCCACAGATGCCACCCTCACCAGCTGAGCTGCCACACAGCCTTGTAATCCAGTTCATTACCCACATTCATTAAAATATCACACCCCTCTCACTTGGGAGAGCCTGGTGAGGAGAGTGTCAGGGCGTGATTTCACTTCTGGGGATGGGATGTGAAGTAAAGAATTCCTTGGGCTCACTGGAGCTTGGCCTCCTGAAATACCATCCCTCCTTCCTGAATTCTAGGGGTTTTTCCTTACAGGTTCTTTGAATCATGCTGCCAGTAAGAAGCTCGACTTGGAGGCCTGGTTTCCAGGCTCAGGAGCCTTCCGAGAGTTAGTTTCCTGTTCTAATTGCACAGATTATCAGGCCCGCCGGCTCCGAATTAGATACGGGCAGACCAAGAAGATGATGGACAAGGTAGATGGCTCCCAGGGAAGTGGGCAGTGAGTGGCACCATCAGCACAGGGTAGACCCACTCTCTTTCTCAGACCTGGGAGTATTAGTTTCCAGCATCATGAAAAAATCTGAGTTTCTCAATCTAGACCCAAAAGGCAATCAGAAATGTCTTCCACTGAGTCAGGATTGGGTTCTATAAGGTAGATACCTGAGTCTACCTCTATTCTACAACGTAATTCTAGCTTTTTTTTCTTTTTGGCTTTGTTTTCCGTAATTTCAGAGAAAGAATCATCCCTAATCATTCCATAATTTCAGAGAAAGAATATTTATCTATACAGAACAAGCTGGACACACCATCTTCCCTCTTTTCGTCCAAGAAAGTCAGGTTATCAGCTCATCTCAAACCCAGTCTTCAGGCCTTGATCTGTTTTGAGGGGGGTTTGTCATGCGCCAAAAAGAGGGGCCACAGTGGTATACACCAGTTCTCCTCAAAATAGTGGGACCTGCCCCTTGTCACTCTTGTAGATGTGAGGAATCTTCTCAGAGTTATCTGATAGGCAGTAAATACTAAACACAATAATAAAAAGTTGAAAATAGAAGGATTATTTTGAATTCGGTAGGTGTAGTTGGGGGTTCTGGCCTCGTGGATAATTTCTCAAGCTGAAGTTTGAGTTGAACTTTCTCTTCCGGGACCCTCTTCTCCCAGGTGGAGTTTGTCCACATGCTCAATGCTACAATGTGTGCCACTACCCGTACTATCTGTGCCATCCTGGAGAACTACCAGACAGAGAAGGGCATTGTTGTGCCCGAAAAATTGAAGGAATTCATGCCACCAGGTAAAGCCCTCCATGCAGCTCCTTTGCTCTCTCTTTTCTGTCTTTATGCTCTTATGCAGAGCAGTCCCTCACAGTCCCCAAAACTCTGCCTGCCCTCTGGTGCTAGACAGTGCAGGGGGCCTGGGGAAGAAAGTAACCAATGTAAGTGTGATGTTCAAATACTGCTGAAATTCAGACTGTGGAAGGAAAGGATAGGTTAAACCAGGGCCTATTGTGGGTGCTCCTTGGTTCAAAGAGATCATTGTCTTGTTGACTTTTCCCCTGAGGTCCTTGGCTTTGACTCTGAGAAACAACATGTCATTTGGTTGACTCTTCCCTCCCAGGACTCCAAGAACTGATCCCCTTTGTGAAGGCTGCACCCATTGACCAGGAGCCTTCAAAGAAGCAGAAGAAGCAACACGAGGGCAGCAAAAAGAAAGCGGCAGCCAGAGATGTTGCCCTGGAAAGCCGGCTGCAGAACCTGGAGGTCACTGATGCCTGAACATTCATTCCTTCGTCCTGGCTTGCTGGGCTTCATTTCTGTCAGCTGGGATCTCAGAGCCTGCCAGAGCAGGAGCCGAGCACCCTCTCATCCCCCTGTCCCATCTGACTGCACAGCTGCAAGGGGAACTGTCTGCCATGTACAGTGCAGGCGCCTTGTCTCCTTGCATGGGCACAGGGTCTACCACTAACTGGTAAAACCATATAATAAAGCATCACTGGGGAGGGCTTCAGACTTTTCCTCGGTCTTCTCCCAGGCTGGTTCTCCAGGGACCAGCCTCTGCTCCCCCTTCCAAATAAGGCTCCTTTTAGCAAGGCAGAGATGTTTTCAGCAGGTAGATGAGGGTGGGAATAGATTTAGTAAAGGCTCAAGGGGGAAATGAAAACCTAGAGTCTTAGACATAGAGGCTTACAGGACGAGGGCCAGGCACCTCTGAAAATTCACTCCTGCTTAAAAGCAGTGAGATAGAAAAGCTTAGAAATCAGAATTAATATAAAGGTCTCCTGGCACCTTGTGTTCCCTAGGAAGGGCTTCATGGAAGGGCAGGGAGGCTGGGAGGCATCAGGGTAGAGACATATCTAAGAGTCTGACCCTAGCTTCAAGAGTGAGGGTTGGGGGCTTATTAACAGCAGCTTCTCTTTATAGCCATCCCCTAATAGGGAGACCTACTGCAGAGCAGCTTGTTGCTGCAGCTCCAAAGGCTCCAGAGCTGGCAGGACAGAAGGGTGTGGGAAGAATGTTTTGTCCTTCCCAGGAGCTCCCCCCATTACCTAATAGGCAGGCACCCTTCCCCTAGGGTAGGAGTATTCAGGCTCTTTCCTACCCTGCTGCCTTTCATCTGCAATCTGCATCCCTGGACTTTAATAACACCTTAGGTTAGTCTAGGCTTCTGTCCTAGGAGGTTAAAATACTTCCTCTAGATGATCCCTTTTATCTTTGTGATGGTCCCAGAAGGTAGGGTGGGGACATGATTATACCTGTTGTATGTGGAAGGCAGAAGTATGCCAAGGAAGGGGAGACAGACAGGTGGCCAGGTGGAAGTCCTGGCTCCTCAGCAGGGCTTTGCACTTGGGTTTCTTTGGGAGGTAAAAGCTGGAGTGTGACCTGATTTGTTACTTGGGAGCCTTCAGTTCATCTTCAGCTTCCTTAATCCCCAAGTAGTGACTTTCCTGGGTCTGCCGGAGCTTGGTATCCAGGACAGAGCATGTGCTGTTTCCCACTGGGGCTGATCCTATCAATCTTGCTTCTGGAAACGCTGTCAAGACTGGGGCGCCTGAAAGGGTAGCCACAGTGGCTCTCTCGACTAGCCTGCTATGCCAGCCGGGGGCCCACAGGCAGACACTGTATGTAGCCCATTGCCCTCTGCTCTGGGATAACAAAGCCAGGGCAAGAGGACAAAAGAGCAAGCTACTCCCATTTGTAATTCAGAAGACCAGAAATTCACATTCCTGTAGCCAACGCTATTTGGTTTGAAGAAAGGCAGCTTACACAGTGAGCAGGGGGCTATTTCTGCTCCACTCCCATCCAGTGTACAAGCCCAGTAGACCCTTTTGGGTGGCTTGGGCACTCCCATCTCTGTCTTAGTCCTAGTCTAGGAGGCTTGTCATAGCCTTTCCCCCATGCCTGTGCTCTTTGGCTCCTACCAGCAGGAAGCTGTGCTTTTTTCCTTGGCTCTGAAAGCTGTGGGAAGGTAGAAGCTGGGGTCCTGAGCCCCTGGGCGACTGGGCCTGGGTCTTACCTCCCCCACCCCTCCTTACTCCTTACCCAGCTAGTGTTCTGGAGATGGCTGCACTTGGAGGTTGAATGCCCTACCATTTTACTCAAAGACAGCCCAGACCCCAAACAGCCATACTCCCCATGCAAACCCTCCCCTGTCTACCCTGTGCACACTCCTGGTGTGATCCATTGGGGAGCTGGGCTAGGAAGATTGCTGAGTGGACCAAATTATCTGTTAGAACACACACATACACACCTGCTTCCTGAAGCCAGAGGAGAGAATGGTCGATAGTAGTGGCCGAGGTTCCTCCAGTTCATCTGCAAGAATATGTTGGCAGGTGGTCATGCAGACATTTACAGTGTTGACCCTGGGCCAGACACTGGGAGCAGGGCTTATGAAAAGAAGGGGCACAGTCCCTGCTTGCAAAGACCTCAACCTATTGGGAAAGGTGTGGCTTGCCTTCCCGTAGAGTGAAATGACAGCCAGACTCCTCTCCCTGAAGCAGTGGCTTGTGGCTGATGCAAGCCTTGTTTAGGATGGGCTGACCCACCTGGAAGCTGAGCAATTGGGAACAGGCCCAGATAACCTTGACTCCACCCTAGTAGTTGCCTTCACAACCCACGGCTGATGCCCTCATCCCTGGCAACTTGACCTGCCCCATCTCCAACCTCGGCTACCAGGTTACCTCAGCAAACAAACCCCCAGAAGCCAGTGGAGTGAGTCAGAGCCTTGGGTCCCTCACCAATCCTTGGTTCCCACACCCAGGAATTCAGTGCCCAAGATGCATGTCTGGATGCTTCTTCAGGCAAGAGGAGACACTGGGACCTGGTCTGGCTTCTACCAGGAAAGAGTCAACTAGAAGCCAGGTTTCCAGACACATGAGAGAGCCAGGAAACTGGGGGTGGGGACTAGGGGGGGTCAGCATGAATCTTGGGGGTCTACCTGAGCTGGCCAACCATTGGCTTCTCCTAGACTGAAACCTCATTTCTAGGAACTGACACTTGCCTGCCCTGTTTTTCCTTTCCTGGAGCTTTTCCGGTTTACCCTGGGTCCTAAGAACACCTCTTCCCCAACCCCCATACCTCCCACGGGGGTCCCTGGGCGGCCCTGGCTGCACTCCCAGGATGAGTCTGACAGGCAGAGCTGGGATGGGCCCCAGAGAAATGTGCTGCATGTCAGAGCCTGTGCCAGGATGAGGGGCCTGCTCCACTCCCCCAGTCTTCTCCCTGCATGGGGTTCCCCGATAGCTCCTCCCAAATAGGCGCAAAAGGAGGGGGGTGCGTTCTTGCAGCCCTAACTGTGCCAGGCCCAGATGGGGCTGACGCCTCCATCACTAACATCGCCCTTTTAAGAGCACCCCCATGGGGAGGGGGGGTGCTGCAGGCAGGTTCTTGTTGCAGAAACCCAGCAATGTGCTGCTCCCCCAATGACCTGCTAGGTAAGAAGACCCAGATGCCTGCTCTCAACCTCCGGTTCAGAGGTAGGGGTCTCAGTGACCTCTGCAGAAGCCTCATTTTCTGGAGTGAAGGTCCTGTAGCTGCTCTAATTGGCTGGTTCACATGCCCTGCATTTTGGAGGGCGTCCCCTGTCCCTTCACTTAGGAATGGGGCTCTCTCCCTCCATGAGGACCTCTCAAATATGGTCTGAGAAATTATTTTTATGGCATCATAAATTGCTGTTGCAAAGGTATGGCCCTTCAGGAAGATTTGTTTAAGTCCTAAAGAAACTGAAGAATCAAGTTCTATTTAGAACAGTGTTCATCCTTCCCTTCCATCTTAGAGAAAAAAAAAAAAAATCTAATTCTTTTTTTGCAGAACCAGCCCTTGTCATCTTGTGCCCTAGGTCTCACTGACTGCCACTTGCCTTTCTATGTCTCCTTGTTCTTCAGTTAGCTCTCTCCTGAACCTCCCCTCTCCCTCGAGTCCCTTCCTTTACCATCCCTTCCCCTCGGTACCAACCTGCTCACACATTCCCCATCTCCGGGCAGCTTCTTGCCTCTCCTGTCAAATTACCATCCCATCTGGCTTCTTTCCCCCAAAGACTAATCAAGGGCGGACACTTGCAGGCTCTGCTACCTCATCAGCATTTCTGTCTCCACCCCCCTCAGAATGTGGAATGTTCCAGACTGAGAGAGCAGCATGAGGGAGCAGGAAGAAGGCCTGAATGGCTGGAGTGCAGACTGAGGGAGGTTTGGGGTTGAGGCTGGAGAAGTAGGCAGGGGAAACAGGCGACACCTGACTCAATGCTGGTTTCCAGCTGTCAGGCCTCCCATGCACTTTCTCCACGTGCTCTATCACCACTGCAGGGCCCCCAAACACAGTTTTTCTTATCTGAGCATCTCCATCAGTCACTCCCAATCTGATCATCTGACACTCCCAATCTCAGTTTCACCCCAAAGAAACCCCTGGGAGTCACCTGGACCACTCCACGGACAGATTTGTTGCACAGTCCCATTGAGTCCTCATCACTGCCCCCTTGACAGCAGCCTCAGCCTCCTTACTGGTCTGTAAGCTCCCAGTTCCTCCTGCGGGTGCACCTTGCTCTTGGAGCCAGAATAGTCTACCAAATGATTCAGCCATAATTGTCCTTCCCCTGCCTGCCCCCCAAACCCAACTTCAAAGTCTGGACTTTGTAAGTTTCCCTAAACTTACAAAGTCCAGACTTCTCACCCAGAATCCATGTTCATCAAAATGTGGCCCTTGGGCTGGGGATGTGGCTCAAGCGGTAGCGCGCTCGCCTGGCACGCGTGCGGCCCAGGTTCAATCCTCAGCACCACACAGATGTTGTGTCCGCCGAAAACTACAAAATAAATATTAAAAAATTCTCTCTCTCAAAAAAAAAAAAATGTGGCCCTCATTCAGATTAGCTGGCTGTCTGCTCTGCAGTTGCCCACCACAGGTTCTGTGTCTGCCCTGGATGCTTCCTGTCTCATCTCCCAGCACTGGTAACACATTTCTCCATTTTAGTTTGTGCCATTCACTCTGCCTTTTCCTTGTGCCTATGTGGAATTCCTCCTCCTTTTTCAAGGTGGTCCAAATGCCAGCTCCTTGAAAAAGCCTTTTCTTATTAAAGTAGTCCGCCCCTATAATCCCAACAACTTAGGAGACTGAGGCAGGAGAATCACAAGTTTAAGGACAGTTGCAGTCACTTAACAAGACACTGTCTCAAAATTAAAAAAAAAAAAAAAGTAGAAGAAGAAGAAGAAGAAGAAAAGAAAAGAAAAAGGGCTGAGTGTGTAACTCAGAGGTAGAACACTCCTGGTCCAATCCCCAATACTGCATAAATAAATAAATAAATAAATAGGCCTTTCCTAAGACTGGGTTTGTAGCTCTTAGGTAGAGTGCTTGCTTTGCATGTGCAAGGCCCTGAGTTCAATCCCTATAGCATGTACAAGGCCCTGAGTTCAATCCCTAGCACCACCACAACAAAAAAACGTTCCTACCTCCTCTACCCCTAAACAAAAATATTAATGAATATAGCCCTGCAACAGCAATTATCTCTGCATTAGACTGGCTGCCCCTTAAGGCCCAAACCAGAATCTTGTTATCAGTATACCTCTCACACAGTCACCTAGCCCTGTGGCTGGGCAGAGCTCCCTCCTTGGTCTGCTCTGATAACTTCCACAACTAAGTTATTGCAGGCTTTGCTTTTGGATTTGCTGCTTGCAGCTCAAAGCAGACTCCACCTCTTTCCCTCTGTGCTCAGGGCTGAAAATGATCTCAGCTGGATCTTGGAGTCTACACCATTGTGGATGCTAGGCCTTTTGAGCTATTTTTTTTTTTTTTTTTTTTGGTACTGGGGATTGAACTCAGGGCACTCAACTACTGAGACATACCCCCAGCCCCATTTTCTATTTTATTTAAAGACAGAGTTGCTTAGTGCCTCGACTTTGCTGAGGCTGGCTTTGAACTCTCGATCCTCCTGCCTCAGCCTCCCAAGCCACTGGGATTACAGACATGCACCACCACGCCCAGTCTTGAGCTACTCTCAACAAAATAGCACCGGCACTGTGAGTTGAACCTATCACTAGGATAAGTCATCTAATGTCATCTTTAATTAAGCCCCAAAGAAAATCTAACATTTAGAACATCAGGCCATGTAGCTGGCATTGGAAACAGTTTGGTGGTTAAAGTGAATGAATTCAAGAGTTTTCACAGAGCAGCCCAGAGACCCCACTGGCCCACCAGATGGAGGTTCCAGGCACGAAGGAACACTTTGCTGCCCCTCTATGCTAGCCAACCATCCATCCAACCATCTACATATTCGTTTGACTGATATTTACTAGTGCTAGGTGCTAGATATTTAGGACACATTTGTTCTCCCGGTCCTGGAGCTTACTACCAATGAGACTGCTGATAGCCAAGTAAATTAACAAGTACATACTCTAGGTAATTACAAATTGCCATACATGAAAGCAGAGGCATTTAAGTTTGCCATGTTCAACAACTGGATAGAAGCCAGGGTGTCCAGAACAGTGCGAAAGGGGAGGAGTAAGAGAGGCCGGGCCACTCCACATGGCGCTTTGTGGATCTGTACAAGGAACTTGAATTTTATTCAAGGTACAACATAAAAGCTCAGTGCAGTGTTTTCCAAAAGGGAGCAACATGCTTAGATTCCAGGCTTTCTAATGTTACTCTGAAGGACATCATAAGGGGTCCTTGAATCAAATATGTACAGAATATGGCACCCCAACAATAAAACTGACCTGGACCCGGTCAATATCATAAAAAAAAATATTTCTTAAATGGAGGAAAGAAAAGAAAAAAATAAAATTTAAGTGGCATATGACTAAATGTAATACATAAACTTTTGGTTTGAAAGTGGCAGCTTATGGGCTAGGGTTGTGGCTCAGTGGTAGAGTGCTCACCTAGCATGCACGAGGCACTGGGTTTGATCCTCAGCACCACATAAATGTAAAATAAAGATATTGTGTCCACCTAAAACTTAAGAATATGAATATATATAAAGTGGCAGCTTAGGGCTGGGGTCATGGCTCAGTGGTGGAGTGCTCGCCTAGCATGTGTGAGACCCTGGGTTTGATTCTGAGCACCACATAAAAATAAATTAAATAAAAGGTATTGTGTCCATCTACAACTAAAAAAAAAACAGAAAGAAAGAAAAAAGAAAGTGACAGCTTAGACCTTTGGGAGACAGGAATTTGGAAAGAACTTGATATACGATGATTCCAGGAATTCTCATTCATGTTCCTGGCTGTGCTCGGGGTCTGTGGGTATGTGGCAGAAGGCAAGGACTCTCCCTCTCAATACCTGCCTGCTGAGGGGCCTACAGTTGATCCACCATTATGTGGGCACTTTATTTTCATATCATTCTCCAAAAGTTGTATGGGGTAAGGCAGAGTGTCAGCAAATGTGGAAACTAGAGGGAGATTATTAAGCCATTCTTTTTTTTTTTTTTTTCCTTTCAAGATGAGGTCTCACTGTGTTGCCAGGCTGGTCTAGAACTGCCAGGATCAAGTGATC